AATCATAAATAGATATCAACACTTCACAAAGACTTATAGAAAATTATTGTATTTACTGATTGCCTAATAAATAAATAGAATTATTCTATATGAACGATTTCTAAGAATCTGCAACGAGACCAACATTATCATTGATTATCAAACTATTTATCACTCAAAATGTATCACTGTAAATTTTTGTTATAAAAAAATAATGAATACGAATGATTGAAAGAAAGATATACAATATAGAGTATTATAACGTGTCGATTGTATATTTTGTTTAAAATATCATTGATAACGAATTAGATATGAGGACAATGCACGTGGACGACTAATAATTTGTATGAATGGGTTCCATTCATTAGATCGTATATAATATATAAACAATCGCTTTTTCTTGCCGGCATCGACAAGATGTGTCATACTGTACTGAGCCGAATCAGCAATACACAAATAAAGTATAAAACTCGTGTATGTATATTGCGTAAGTTAGATTTTTGAACATATACTTGAACATATACTTGAGGCACTGATACTCAACATTGGTGCATCAATAAAAATTCATCACTATTATAGAAAATGTTTTAATAAAAATTCATACATAGAGATCCAGGTTTCACAACAGATCATGGAATCCTTAAGTTTCGATTGCTGTTCAAATAATATAAAAAATATAAATATTAAGTCTGCTGTTTGTGTGATTAGTCGACTTTATGCTAATTAATTTGAGAGAATCTCATTTATTCCTCAGTATGACCTCATCTATTCTTAGTTAACACATAATAAAAGTATGTGAGCAATACCAAATTTTAACCAATAAACAGATATTCTGGAAAAATAAAGTTGTTGCGTATTTGACACTTATAAAAAAAACATTTTTTTGCAATTTTTGATAGCAATGAGAAAAACTTATTGGATACGAATTTATTCAGTATCAAGCTATAAACAGTTGCAAATTATGTTCAAACGATGATTATCCAATTTAAGATAAGATTTCAAGTAACTATATAAAAAATTTACGTCTCCCATATTAGTAAAACAATTAAAAATCAATTAACACAACTTTTTCAATTTATAAACGTTTTAATAATTACTTAAATTAATTCTCACAAGCACATATTGAAATCGATTTCAGTAAATTGCCATAAGAAATATTAAGGAGACACTACAGGTAGTTAAAACAAATTTATTATTACTTAATTTCTAAAAATAAAACACTTTTTGCGTCAATTTTTGAAAAACGGTAAGATTACTTATCCTTTTTCTGTGTTTTTTCTTAGATATATTTCTAAAGAATAATTAAAATTAACTAAGGTCATTAAAACATTCATTTAAACATGATAATAAATAAAACGTTATTATTTAGTTTCATTAAGTCACTTCATATATGAAAAGAGCGACACTTAGTGGGCGGAGGGCAATATTATCTCACAAATAAAAATAGTATGATTTTTTTAACGATACTATTTTAAAGTAGAGAGAAAAGATAGCCCTAAATCAAGCTACGTCATAAAATATGCGGTCACATTGTAATTTCTTCAAAAATTAATAAAATTTTATTCCTTGTTAGTTTTTTTTTTAATATGGTTGCTTGATTGTTTTGTAACGCGTACTGTTATTTTTAATTTAGAGTTAAGAGATTTTTCTTCTGCCTTTGGGGTATAAAATACTAGATGACAAATTTTTGGTAGTTAAGTTTTTACAGTAATAATTGCCATCAGACAAATTTTACCTTTGTGACCGCCCTACCCTACCCTATTGTATACACTTCACAAGGGCATATTTCCTAATACACAGAAATGTCAGTAATCCTTAACATAATTGTATCATTTCTATCATCTAATTTCATGCAACTGATAACTCAGCTCATTTGAACACTTGGAAATTCTTTCATCTCATCTTGAAAGCGTAAGATGTATAAAGATTTTTTTTATCCTGTTCATTTCTTTGAGTTATTTCACTCCTATTTTACATATCACAGTCGTAACCGTCGTTCCATAGTTTCCCATAGGAGTGGATTTTATTCAGATTATCTGCATATCCTTGTATCCTTTATCCCAAAGATATAGATTCAATCAGCGGGCTACACTCTTCAATTGCTCCAAGAGTTTCAAGTAATATTCCTCCGACCGGCGCAGGTACGAGGTACGAGGATCCATGTCAAAGCTTCATTGCTTTTTTCTCGAGAGGATTGTTGGATCTTGTGAATTTCTTTTTGAGCATTTTAAATATATTATGTATGATTATAGTATACTCTCTGTATCAGTTATCTTTTGATCGGCATCGCAATTATTAATTCATTGCGAATTCCACAACTCGATATTAAGTTCCCGAAGGAGAAGTTTATGTTTTCGCAAAAAAATGGATTTGCTAATTTTAGGTTTTCTAGGCGTTTTAATATATTCCGAACTGAATGAGACATAATTTGGAAAAAGACGTTTGTGTGTGCCGATTTTTAAACTATCGTCAACGTTTACTTAAAAACGGATAGACCGATTACAAAAATTCAAAACATTAGATGTATCTCGATAAAGACTATCGTTGGTCAATTTTACGATCGGCCAAGCCGTTTTTTTATTATTGGCAAAAAAGTGTAAAATATTTCGTACATGTTTTAGGCCACAGAGTTAAATAGATTTTAAATATTCAAAAACTGAAAAAAAAATTTGTTTGAGGATTCTGTTGAAACCTTGTATAACTATAGAATTCGTAGTCTAAAATAACATACTAAAATTCATCAAAGTATAGAATTTCGACGCATACTTGAGTGATTCTAATTAGAAGTCATAGCACCAGTATGATCTGTGGTGTTCTGTAAGCAGCTACTGATTATAGTTCACGTTCTTACTTAATTAAATACATATTTAACCCGAAATGAGTGAATTTGTTTCACAAATTGATTTAAATTATACAAAAACAGTCTTTATAATTATGTTTCCAAGATAAATATCTTCGAGTATCTTCAATTGATAGGGGCCGTTCAAGTATTACGTATGCACTATAGGGGGGCGGGGGGTTATTATTTGCTTATTTTGGGTAAGAAATTTGCTTACTTTTGCTGACAAAGGGGAGGGGGGTGTAAATAATTGTAATAAATCTGCTTACGTAATACTTGAACGATCCCATATCAATTGAAAATCGTTATTTTTTAACCTTAAACATTTAAATTTTAAATTTTAGTTAAACATTTTATCTAATAGCTAATTCTAATTCTTGTAGATAAAGTCGATCAGACAACTTGCTTAAGGCAAAATGCTATGTATAACTAGTTTCTGAGAAAGATTATTCATTCAAAATCATTAATTTATTATCATCATTTGTGTAGTACACAATACATATTTTAGCTATGCTATAATAATGTATTATTCTAATTCTTGTAATTCTAATTCTTGTAGAAAAAGTCGATCAGGCAACCTCCTTAAGGCAAAATGCTATGTATAACTAGTTTCTGAGCAAGATTATTCATTCAAAATCATTAATTTATTATCATCATTTATGTAGTACACAATACATATTTTAGCTATGCTATAATAATGTATTATTCTAATTCTTGTAATTCTAATTCTTGTAGATAAAGTCGATCAGGCAACTTACCTTAAGGTAAAATGCTATGTATAACTAGTTTCTGAGAAAGATTATTCATTCAAATTCATTAATTTATTATCATCATTTATGTAGTACACAATACATATTTTAGCTATGCCATAATAATGTATTATTATTAATCCATCATTGTTGATTAAGAGCAAGTATAAAATAATGCAAATATTATTAATTTATTCCGAAACAACGCGTGATTACAAACATATTTGTAATTACAAACATATTTGTTCGGCTCTTATCAATTCATTTCATAACAGTTCTTGTAGTTCAAATCGAAATTTAAATTTTTATCTTTTTATATCCATTAATATCGTACGAGTTAACAAAAACAACAAGACAAAAACCTCTAAGTTCCAATATTAGTTTTGGAAAATAGTACTAATCTCTAAAACATACCTATTAAAATATATTTCATATAAATGAAGAAAACTTATAGAATATATATAGTTGAACCAAAAATTATAATCGAATTTGGTCGAACTATTCAGTTTTATAGTATCATGATAAAAAAGAGAAATTGAATTAGTATTAATAGATATAAGTAAAATTAAATGCAGTATTGTGCGAAAGGTATAAAGATATAATATTTTATTTTTATTTAATGAAACCACTATTTTCTATTTATACATGATCTCGTTGTCTGAAAGATTTACAGATACCCCAGCTTGTGAATATGACCCTTAGTACCTGCTTTAAAATAAGGGTAGATTTACAAGAATTGGGATGTTAATAGGGGATCTGATATACATATCTTTCTCATTCATTGGTTAGTACATAATAAATATAATTAAAATTGGTTTCTATAAATAACACGTATCAAACAAATAATATAAACTGAAATTATTTTTATTTAGCTATTTTTCTAATATTATCATTCTTCTTATATTACAGCCATGGGACAATAATGTCCAATATTTAATATCTAATTTCAAAGATTTTACAAAATAATTACTACAATATCTAATCAATTCAAAACACATTTTTAAATTTCATTATCAAAATATATTCATTGCATTAAATTTTATAATATAAAACATACAATATTTTTAAAAATAAATTCATGCTACTCTACTTAAAGTAACTTATTCTTATTTATTATTATCACTATCACGATATGAATCATGATATAAAATTCCCATATAAAATCATAATATACATTCGTGTTACAAAAATGTAGAGTTCACAGTTCCACAATAAAAGACATAATTCATAGAAATTAAAAAATGTATGAACTGCAGCAGAATTCTTTATATTAAAAATGTAGTCACAAAAATGCACTCTAATTATAACATAATTAAAATATTTAACATAAATTTTTAAACTCTTATAAAGACAAAATGAAATATTTTTTATTATGGCAACAATTTGAAATAGCTTTTGTTTTGGTAAGTATTCCTATTTTACTTTTTGAGCCTTTATTTATGTGAAAATAATTCCAAAGGATCGATTAATACCTCAATAGTTTCAACTTCTGTATCATACGTCGTTGGTTTCTGTGGATCCAATGATGTAGAAGTTTGTGCATTTGGTGAAAAATCTGAAGTCGATGGATCTGGCTCTGGCTCCTTTTTGATATTTTTTATTAGATTTTGTGCAAATTCAGCATCGCTTAATTTATTTTGGTTGTTGGGAAATACGCTAGTTTGTTCAGATCCACTCATTATGTTATGTAGAAACTCTGAAGTCGATGTCGATGGCTGTGTCTCATTTTTGTCTTCTTCCATTGGACATGGTGCATAATCAGCGTCGCTAAATTTATTTTGGTTGTAGGGAAATACGCCAGTTTTTTCAAACCCATTCTCTATATTATTAGGTTCTAAAGCTAATGGTAAAGCAATCCGAACGATTTCAGGGACATCATATATCGTCATTGTCTTCCCAGCATTATTCTGCATCCATGCAACTTTAGCAGATGACATATATGTTTTAAAAGGTTCATATACTCCAACGTCAAGCGGTTGCATTTTCTGAGAGCAATGTCGAGGAATAGAAAGCATTATCACGCCATTTTCATCAGCAAGGTCCAGTGTAGGTATAGACATGGATAATGAAAAGTTGTTGTTCAAAATCAACAAAACTGGTGATTCTTTACTGGCCTTAACGTGCTTGATAAAATGTTGAATATACATAAAAAACTCGTCATGAGTAAGACAACCGCTTGAATTCCCAGCTCCTATGCAATCAGAAGGACCATCTCGAATAAAATGGTATTCAAACTTTTCACAAGGAAATATAAACATAGGTGGAACGAATGAACCTAAAGCCGAGACTGCAAGTAATACAGTAACATTATTCTTTTCTTTGTCTGCAATTATATTTGATAGTTTGTTAACAGTCGATACACTAGTTTCATCTGCATTCCATACAGCAGAAGCTGTGAATTTAAACTGATCCAAAATTTTTGCTAATTTCGTGTAAAATTCTTGCACATTAGTTTTGTTGAATGACATAGCCTTGATTCTGACTGTTTCAGGTTTTTTTCTGATTGAAAGGCTTGGGTTTCGTGTAAGGAAAACAGATACCCAATCCCTACTAGGCATTTTATTTGCGCGCCATGTTTCTGGTGTCTTTATTTTATGTTTAATTGCATAATCATAAGCCATGCGGCGAACTTCTTTTGAACCTATGCCATGGAAAATTTGTTCAAGTTTATGCAAGTATTCTGTGATTCTGGATTCTTGTTCCTTATTAAAAACTTGTCTTGGAGTACTATAGCCAAATCTCACATCTGCAGGATTATCTTTTATACGTTTCATAAATCTTGATAATGAAGTTTTATTTATTTCAAACATTCGAGAAACTTCTCCTAATGACTTGTTTTCATGTAGAACTAAATTCATTGCTTGCTGCATTAATTCAACAGGTTTATTGGCACGGTTTGTTTTTCTTTTGTAATTCCTCATCCTGAAATAAACAAAAAGAAAGTTATAGGCAAAATATAAGTTATGAGGGATAAAAAGAACCAGACAGTTCTTTTATAACCCAACCGCATGTGAGGTTATACAAAAGTACGTTTAAACCAACATAAAAATAATAATTTACCTTACAAAACAAATAAATAACGTATATATACTCAAATAATAATCCTCGATTCCAAACAAATTAACAACGAAAGCAAATACTATGCGCGCCGCGTCTATTTCTCGATAGCAACGTCGCTCGACTGACGCCGTGTATCTTTTTACCCTCGGACCTTTAAGCCCCGCCCTACTATACATACACACGCATACACATACGTATTATTGAACCGAAGCGGAGAGCGGAGGTTTTACACTGTATTATTAGTCATCCCGACAACACAGGCAAACATTTAAGTCTGGCGTACGGTAACCAGTGGTTTCCAACCTTTTTGTAGCGCGCTTCACCGTTTTTTTAAAACATAATGTTGCGTTCCTCTTAGTTTTCCTAACAATTTAATTTTATAAATACTTAACTGATATAGTAATTTATCTATCAGACTACAAATTAATTAGATTTTTTAGAATTTTGAAATTTTTGAAAAAACTTGATATTTTTTAAAATATTTTGAAACATTTTGAAAATAGTGAACTTTTTTTTTCAAAGCAACCGCGATGCTTCAGCTGCGCAAAGTTAAAATATCTAAGCGCATAAGCGCCGCGTCGCAGTCTATCGGTTAAACAATTTTACGGAACCCATAGAAATGTAAACAAAATTTATACTTATTACTAAAATATCTGATAATTTAATGTGCATATGTATAATGTTTGTTTTTGACGACCATTTTTTTTAAATTTTTTTATTGGATCTGCAAAACCGCTAGACATCACAAAAAATTTATCAGTTCTTATTTTTTCTACATTTTGTCAATACATATAAAATATTATTTCTAATCATTCTTAATCTAATCTATTTCTAATCATATTTATAATCATTCATATCTGACGCTTTGTTATCTCAAAAACTGAATTACCATCTTTGAAACTCTTTGCCCCAAATCTTCGAAACGGCTCGACCTGCCTCTGCCAAAAAATAATCAGCACCTCTATCCGTCAATACGAATCGAATGTTGTATGAAGTATTCAAATCTGTTGAATCGTGTTTACAAAACCTTCAACGAGAATTTGTAACCAAACTCACACACACACGCATATACATTCATTTTTTTTAAGGTATGCCAAAATGTTCAGAAACATTGAAACGTAAAGATATATAAGAGCCCCGTGAGGTTGGAAACCACGACGTTAACATGTTTTCTTTACTTAAATATTGTAAAATTATAATTTTTAAATATGTAACATATGTGTTAACATAATAAAAATACAAACTTTTTTTAAAATTGTGTAATCCAATAAAAAAACATTTTATTTCTATTGACGATATAAAAAATTCTATAAAATTTTTAGAAAAGCATTTTCTAATAGTATTTGCATAGTCCCAGACAATATTGCCCAGACATTTGCCCAGACAATATGCTGGGATTTTCTAATATATACAAATTTTGTTTACATTTCTATAGGTTCCGTACCAATGTTTACCAGTTAAACTGCGACGCGGCGCTTACGCTTCGCTTTTTCGTCTCTAAAACGGCTACGCGGCGCGATTGCTTTGAAAAGTTCTGAAATTTTATAATAAAAAACATTTCATTCAAAAAAGTTAAATGTTTTTAAATTTTTCAAAAACCTAAAAAAAACTCAAATCTATTTTTTTCAAAGTTTTTAAAAAAATTAATTTTTTTTTTTAAATTTTACATTTTGACTAGGGTTTATACAAAAACCGACATTTCAGAAAACCGGTTTTCGAATTTTAATTTTGCTAAAAAACCGGTTTTAACCGGTTTTCGAATTTTATATAGAAAATAAATTTTTACTCGAATATTCTGTAATTTATCCGTAAATTTAGTGTGTTTTAGAGCAGTATTTGACTGACTTTATTTATAGCTCATTTTTATGGATAGTAAACAAAATTATTTTAATTTTAATTAGTAGAACTAAAAAATAATAGTTTATCTTGATTGACTTGACTTGTTAATATCAATTTTAGTTTTAAAAGCAATTAAGCTAAACTCGGGTATTGCCTGTTCCGAGCAATTTTAATTAATTAATTTTAAACATTCTAATTTTTTTTTTTGTTTAATAAAATATGATTTCAACAAACTGTGAACGTCTATCGAATTGTTACTTATTGTTAGATGTGTACTTTGTTTACTCATAAAATTTCCTGAAATAGAAAATACTCTCATACTTGCGAACGAATTATGCTTAATTGTTTTTAAAGCCAGATATAATAATTCTAAGTTTCTTGTTCTTTCATTTGTGGCTTCTAGGGTTTAATACTCTTTTTTTTTTAAGTTTGAGTAGAGGAAGTTACTTCTTCAAAAAGAAGTCACACTAATTTAAATTAATATATACACTGGTATAAAAATCTAAATTATTATATACAAAACCTTTCTGGCAACCATTGCAGACTGATAAAATATCAAATGCTATTGAAACGATATGATTTCAAGAATCAAAACGCTTTCATCTATCTTTTATATTTGGCTATATTTGTCATTTTCCATTTATACAGTGAAAACCGATTTTTTTCACTAAAAAAACGGCTTTCGAATTCCATAATTTTCGCTAAAAACCGGTTTTTAAAACCGGTTTTTAAAACCGGTTTTTGAAAACCGATAAACCCTAATTTTGACAAGAAAAGTTACAACAGTTTGTCTCAAGGCACGATGCCATGCATCACTAGTTTTCTGTGTAATAATTGTATTTTAAGAAACAATGGGTCTGGTTATGATAAATTAAACAGAAACACTTATTATTCATAATAGTAGCAAGTGATATTTTTGTTTATTATGCTTAACAATATATATTTTTAAATTATAATTTTTAATTTTATTGGTCAATCTAAACTTATATATCATACCTATTATTCCGTTAAAGCTCCTTAAAAGCAAGAATAAAATGGTTTGCCTTTTTTCCCCTAGCTATCCCCTTTTACCCCGCCTATAGTATAAAAAAGACCAGGTGGCATTTGAATTTTAAAATTATTTGTTATCAAAGTTTCCGATAGTGAGCTGAAGATTTATTTAATATAAATATAGAGAACTTTGTTATATTTGTACGCATCGATAATATAATAATCGATAATATAGGATTTATTTAGATTTTTTTTATTCATATAATATTTTAATTTTATTTGGTGATTACAATATTTCTGGTTAATACTTGGTCTAAACTTGTTGGCCGTTCAAAAATGTATGATACCTAAGTTTGTGAATACGACCCTTAGTACCTGCTTTAAAATAAGGGTAATTTTACTGAAAATGGAGTGATAATATGGGATCTGATGTACATAACTTTCTCATTTATTTGTTGGTACATCATAAATAAAAAGAAATTGGTTATTACACATAACACGTATCAAACAAATAAATATTGTATTTATTACAATTGACGGTAGAACAGAACAATATTTTCATATTGTATTTTTACTAAATTTTATATATTTTTAACTATTTATTTTATTCTAAAACTATCGGAGAATAATAGTCAATATTAAACTTTCAAGATTTTATCAATTGCAATTCAAAACACGTTTTTTATTTAATTTTTAAAATATATTTATTGTAGTAAGTTATGTAATATACAATATTCTTATAAATACATGAGTGCTATTCTTCTAAAAGTATATTACACTTATTTATTAATATCACTATATTGTATAACATTTATAACTTACAATAATATAAAATGTAGAGTTTACAATTCCACAAAAAGACATAACTCTACATGAAATTGTATGAACTCTCTTAATTAAAAGTGTAGTTTGTCACAAAAATGCACTTTAAAAACCTACTAGGTAACTAATATTAGTTGAAAAACAGATTTTAAAAATTTAACATTATTATTAAAACAAAACTAAATATATTTTGTTACGGTAACTATTTCAAATATATTGTTTTGGTAGCCATTTCCAGTTTACTTTTCGAATGTTCATTTTTCTGAAAATAATTCTAGAGGATCGATTAATACTTCAATAGTTTCAACCTCTGTTTCACTCGACGTTGGTTCTTCTGGATCCAATGATGTAGAAGGCTGTGGTGCATTTGACAACAAACCTGACGTCGATGTCGATGGCTGTGGCTCATTTTCCGTTGGATTTATCGCAAAATCATCAGCTGTGCCAAATTTATTTTGGTTGTCGGGAAATATTCCTGCTTTTTCAAATCCACTCAATATGTTGTGCAAAAGAGAAAACGTGGATGTTGATGGCTGCTCCATGTTTGATGTCTCATTTTTGTCTTCCTCCATAGGGCATGACACATAATCAGCGTCGCTAAATTTATTTTTATTGCAGGGAAATATGCCAGTTTTTTCAAACCCACTCACTATGTTGTTAGGTTCTAAAGCTAAAGGTAAAGCAGTGCGAACGATTTCAGGGATATCATAAATTGTCATTATCTTTCCAGCATTATTTTGCATCCATGCAACTTTAGCTGATGGCATATATGTTCTGAGAAGTGCGTATACTCCCACGTCGAGCGGTTGCATTTTCTGGGAGCAATGTCGAGGAATAGAAAGCATTATCACTCCATTTTCCTCAGCAAGATCTAACGTTGGTACAGATATGTATGATGAAGAGTTGTTGTTTAAAATCAACAAAACTGGTGATTCTTTACTAGCCTTGACGTGCTTGATAAAATGCTGCATATACATAAAAAAATCGTCATGAGTAAGACAACCGCTTGGATTCCCAGCACCTATGCAATCAGTAGGACCATCCTGAATAAAGCGCTCTTCAAACTTTTCACAAGGAAATATAAACATAGGTGGAATAAATGAACCTGTGGCGGAGACTGCAACTAATACAGTAACATTAGTTCCACATTCACCAGTTGGTTTGTCAACAGCAACATGTTCCTTTTCTTTATTAGCAGTTTTTTTGGGGAGTTTGCTAACGGTTGATACACAAGTTTCATCTGCATTCCATATAGCAGAAGCTGCGAATTTATATTGATCCAAAATCTTTGCTAATTTTGTGTAAAACTCTTGCACATTAGTTTTGTTGAATGACATTGCTTTGATTTTGGCTGTTTCAGGTTTTCTAAGCGAAAAACTTGTGTTTCGTTTAAGAAAAGCGGTGATCCAATCCCTACTAGGCATTTTATTTGTAACCCAGTTTTCTGGTATACTCATTTCGTATTTAATTGCACAATCATAAGCAATGCGACGAGCTTCTTTTGAACCTACACCATGGAAAATATGTTCAAGTTTGTTCAAATATTCTTTTATTTTGCATTCCTGTTCCTTTTTGAATAATTGTCTTGGGGCACTATAGCCAAATCTGATATCTGTAGGATCGTCTTTTATTCGTTTCATAAATCTTGCTAATGAAGTTTTGTTTAATTCAAATATACGACATACCTCCCTTAATGATTTTTTTTCATGTAAAACTAAATGGACTGCTTGCTGCATCACTTCCACAGGTTTAGTAGCACGATCTGTTTTTCGTTTGTAATTCCTCATCCTGAAACAAACAAAAATAAAGTTATAGACAATACTTAAATTATATAAGGGGTAAAAAGAACCAGTCTGTCGTTTTTTACCCCAATCGCATGTAAAGTTATACAAAAGTACATTTAAACAACTAAAAAATAACAATTTACCTTATAACAGTTGAATTACGAATATTTAAATAACAATACTCGATTCCAAACAAATTACAACGAAAATAAATACTTGGACGCGCAACGTGTATCTCCGACTAGCAACGTCGCTCGACTGGCGCCATGGTCCTTTTTTCCCATGGACCTTTAAGCCCCGCCCTACCCTATATACGCACCCATACTCTCTCATATTATTGAGCCGAAGCGGAGAGCCGAGTTTTACACTGTATTATTAGTGAACCCGACAACGCAGGCGAAACGTTCAAGCCTGGCATACGTTTTCGCCGTGGTTTCCAATCTGCGGGGCGCGGTACACATCATTACATATCATTATTTTATGCACATTATTGTTTAATATTGCTTTTTTTTAATTACAATATTTATTACAACTGTTAAATAATTTAACATCTAGTAATAATAATAAACAATAACATAAATTTAAATAAATATGAGTACAAAGGATAGAATTTACATTAAAATGATATGCGTGTAGTATGATTTAATATAAAATAGAAGCAAATAATAATAAAAATAAAATTAATAAATAAAATAAATAACTAGCTGTAAGTGGAGTTCTGTCTTAAGGCAATTAGGGCATCGTGCCTTAAGGCAAATTGCTGGAACTTCCCGTACCGTAACGAAATGTTAGAAGAATACTGAATGTTTTGAAATAGATTATTATTAATATTGTAATATTGTCTAATATTTATAAGAATTATATAAACTGAATTGCAAAGCTGAAATTATTTGTTTAAAGTATATTAGAATTATAGTCAGAATTAAGTATAAAATCTGAATTATTTTCATTATACAGAAAAAAAATTCGAAAAAAAAATGTTGAAGCAAAAAAATTTTTTTTCCAAAATCAATTATTTTGTTAAGACAAGCAGAAAGTTCTTTGAATCAATTAAATCGGACGCTTAGTTCTCTCAAAAACTGCCATTTTTTACATACTTAGCTCCGTATCTTCGAAATGGCTGGGCCTGCCTTTGGCAAATACTAATTAACACTTCTCCCAATCATTACTAATTGCTAGTAATTAGATCATTCAAATCGGATACTCCGTTTTCTCAAAAAGTCGATTTCTATTTTCTGCACTTTTTGCTCCGTATCTCCGAAACGGCTGGACCTGCCTTTGCCAAAAACTAATCAGCTCTTTTCCCTCAATCAATAGAAATCGAATGTTTTTTGAATCATTCAAATCGGTTAATCCGCGCGCCCAAAAACGTGACTGGAAATTTGTATCCATGCATTTATACACACACACACACACACACACACACACACACTGCCAAAATGTTCAGAAACCTTTAAAACGTCGAGAAATGTAAAAATTTTCAATTTCGATTTTTGGACGATTACAATAACTTACCCTACGGGAAGTTAATAATTAATATTGCATATTAATTTGTAATCTGACAATATCAGTTTGGAATTATAAACTAATGGTACATGGCATTGTGCCTAAAAGCAAATAGCTGGAATATCCCGTACCAAAAATTAAAATTTTTAAATAAAAATGCTTCAAAGTTTTTTGAAAACTTCATAAAAATTAAAATATTGAGAAATTTGGAATTTTTGAAAAAATTATATTTTTGAAAAATCTTATTTTTTTTTATATCGTGAAATTTTTTGAATTTTTCAACTTGCCGTTGGGTAAGTTATAGTAATCGCGAAAAAATTGAAAATATCTTTACGTTTTAACCCTCCGTCGGGCGCAGTCCCGTTACGCACACGTTCGGGCGCAGTGTATCCGACAGCAACGGTTTTTAAGTATATCCTCAGGAGGCTCCTTATTTTATAAACATGTTAATTTTTTGTTTAATTAAATTTCAGAATGTATACTTTTTGAATAAATAGAAAAAAAAAGAATTCAATAATATTTTATTATAAAATGTAGAAAAATATAAACCTGTGTATATATGCACAAATTATTTACACTCACTTTTCTTTATTGAAATACACAGTCTCTAACTTTTTTTTCATTTGTCACTTTATAAAAAATAAGTAATATAATAATGATAGTTTAATGTGTATAGTTAAATATTATCATTTATTGAAGCATTTCAACAAGCACTGCATAGAAAGATCGCATGTTGGAAACACAGTGCTTTTCGACATTTAGCACAACAAAATCTTGAAAACCGTCTAATATTAGCTTCTAATGTACACGGTTCACATCGTCGTTTTTTTCGTGGCTCTTCTTGTTTTGTGAGCCATTTTCCTGTGAATTTGGTCTGAATCTTTTGAGTCCTGTCTGCAAAGTGAACAGTATCCCACTCGTGATTTCACTTCTTCTTGTTAGCTGTCCAAGAACAAGTTCATGCGATAATTGTCTCAAAAATATCTTCTTCGGAGATCTTTCTTACCATTCCCATGACTCCAACATTCTATAGGCGTTGCAGCATTTTTTGCGTTTCCTATAACACCTGGTAAATGTCTTAATAAGTTCTGGGATTTTGTTCGAGTCCTATTAGAGAGAGGTTTGCTACACCATTTTGTAGATTTATCTCTACTCATAAAATATTTATCATTATTGTTTAAATTTATTTCTTCCTCACTCTCATCCTGTTCGTCCTCTTGTTCTGTCTCAGAATCGACTTCGCGACTCTCTAGATGGTCTTCGTCACTTCCACTTTCATCACCTAAATCGTCAAGAAGATTATTTTCATCAGCATCATCATTCAGCATTCTTAGAATCTCTTCTGAATGAGCTGGCTTTTCTAAATTATATATTTTTTTACCACTCGCCATATTTACTAGCCTATAAAATGTATGGACTCAAGTTAGTAACACATTCGGGCGCAGTGAATCTCGTAGATACTTTAAAAAAATTGCAATTAAATGAAAAGTATTGAGATATATATTCAAAAATACGTAAAAAAATACAGAAAAAGAATACTTACATTCACAAAAAATTGCAATATTCTTACGTTTCAAAATGTTGCACGTTCGGGCGCAGTGTATCTCTAGGATCAAAATACCGATTGCCACTATATGTGAAGGTCAAACACAAAATGATAAAGACGCATAAATAAAACATATAAAATTAGGAGGCTATTGAAGAGTGGAGGTTTCTATAACATTCAACCAAGGCGCAGCATGAAAATTTATTGGCTCTGTATCTGTCAGATCGGCTGCGCCCGACGAAGGGTTAAAGGTTCTTGAACATTTTGAGATACCTCAAAAAATATGGATGAAAATCTGTGTGTGTTTGTGTGAATGTGTGTGTGCAAATTTTTGTCGACGTTTTAGGGATCACGCGGTAACCAAGTTGAATAATTGAAAAAACATTCGATTCGTATTAATGTGGAGACGTGCTGATTAGTTTTTGGCAAAAGCAGGTCCAGTCGTTTGACGAGGCAAAAAGTGCCAAAAATGATAATTATGTTTTTGAGAGAACGGAGCGTCCGATTTGAATGATTCAAAAAGCATTTTATTTGTATGGACGAAATGAAGTACTGATTCAATTTTTGGGAAGGCAGGTCTAGCAATTTCGGAAATCCAAAAAAAGTACAAAAAATGGCATTTGGCGGTTTTGAGTTCTTGATTTTTTGAGAAAAGGGAGCGTCCGATTTGAATGATTCAAAAAAGATTTTATTTATATTGACGAGATGAAGTACTGATTTAATTTTTGGGAAGACCGGTCTAGCGTTTTCAGAGATCCAATGAAAAAAATTATCAAAAATGCAATTTGGCAGTCAAAAATGATCATTAGACATATGCACTTCAAATTATCAGATATTTTATAAACGTTTTACTAATAAGTACAAGCCTGACACGGCGCTAAAGCGCTTCGATATTTTGGCTTCAAAACAGCTGCGCAGCACGATTGCTTTGACATAAAGATCAAAATTTTCGAATTTTTAATAATTCGCAAAAATATAATTATTTCAAAGTTTTCAAGAAATTTTAAAGATTAAAAAAAATGGTACGAGAAGTTCCCGAAATTTGCCTTAAGGCACGATGTCATGCAACACTAGTTCTTTTAATACTCAGGTGAATGCCTGATTGAACTTTTTATTATATTGTTATATTCTAACATGTATTATCCCATATGAATTGTTGTGCGGGTATAAAATTCAAAAGTAACAATAAAAGTAAGTCTGCAATTTGAAGTAAGCCATTTTCGCGCTTGTGAGAATATCGTGTTTACCTCCAAATTCGGTATGGTTATATCCCGTTGAATTTAACGAATATTATTTATGATGGCAGTATATCAAAGTGCGAAACAAACTCTGAGAGTTTTGAACAGTTCCTATCTCTTGCGATTTTGTGATGCTGAGATGTCGAGATGAAAACTAAGCGAACTTGGGAGCCGCACGCACGAGGAAAACAGTGACACCTCATGCTGACACTATTTAAAACTTACTAAATTCAATAAAACTTTAACAAGATCCAGTTATCTTGAACGCAGAAATTCTTGACTCTAGTTCAAACGCGTACTTAGTTAAATTTGGTTCAAAACTTCTGAAAACGTTCATTAAAGGTACAACAAATGGAAAGTTAATAAAGAAGGGAAGAACATTTAACTCTTCAAAATAAGTTTGATTCTTGGAGAAACATGTGTAAAAAATGTTAAAGAAATTGTTGAAACTCTTTTAATAATTAAACTTTTCCAATAAAAACATAATTAACTTTCTATAGGGAAAATGATAATATTCATATAAATTTACGTTTTAAAGCCTTTTGAACATGTCTGCATTCCTTACAATTAAAAAAATTTGATCTATATGTTTGTGTGCGGATACAATTTTTCATGGAAGATTTCATAAACACGGTTCAACAAATTAATTAAAAAACATTCGATTACTATTGATCGGGAGACGTGCTGATTATATTTTCCAGAGACAGGTTCAG